CGGCGCGACCCTCCGCGCTGCCCGCCAGCCGCAGCTGCTGGCGCAGCAGCGAGGCCTGCTGCCGCGCAAAGCCCGCGGCGGGCGGCACGGTGGCGGCCCAGGCCTGCGGCAGCCAGGCGTGCGCCGTGCGCGCCAGCCGCACCCCGCCCACGGCCGCGTCGCGGAAGACGGCGGCCGCCAGGCGGGCCGAGTGCAGCGCCCAGCTCTTGTACTTGCACCACTGCCCCTGCTCGTCGCACTGCACCGCCTCCAGCACCGCCGCCCACTGCTGCGCGGAGGTGTCGGCCATGTAGGCGTCAAACCGCTGCCAGGCAGGCTCCCACGACAGCAGCAGCGGCAAGCGGCCGCCGCCAGCGTGTGCGTCCAGCAGGGACTGGCGCAGGCCGGGCGCGCCACCGCTGGTCGCCTCCGTCAGATCGCCCTGGCCCCAGGAGAAGTGGGAGAGGGTGGTGAGGCCCGCGTGCATCAGGTTGGCGGCCGCGGTGACCGACACCACCAGGCCGGCGGCGCCCATGCAGGCCCCCACCACCAGCCACACCACCACCAGCGGCAGCAGCCAGCCGCACACGCGCCGCCGCTTGCGGCGGCCTGCGCCAGCAGCGGGAGCGGGGACGGGGGGCAATGAATGGACAGCAGGATAGGGCAGGTGGGCATGCGCCATAGAATGGTAGGCCAGCACGGCACGGCACGGGTGCCAGCTGGCGGCCTGGGGCGCCACGTCGCAGCAGCAGGATGCAAGAGGCTCGGGCCCAGCGCCCGGCAGGCACACCTTGAGAGGGCGCGGCTGTGGCTTGCATGGCGGGCGCCGCGGGGGGAGGCACTATGGCTGGCTTGAACAAGGCGGGCCCGCCCTGCTCCGCCAAGCCGTCGGCATCGCGGAAGCTGGGGGAGGGCGGCGGCCTGGGCGGCGCAAACGTGCCGCCTGCGGGCATCGCTGCCTTGGGGGCGGCGGGCATGAAGGCTGCCGTGCGGGGAGAGAAGGGGCCGCCGGACCCTGCTGGCGCCACGGGCGGCTTGCCGGCATCTGCGGCACGAATGGCAGGCGGGGCGGCGGGTGGGCAGAGTGCAGCAGCAGCCGATGGCGGCAGGCCGGCCAGCGCAGGGGGAGCGGGCACACGAGCAGCATGGTCTGCTGGCGCTGAAGCAGGCCCGGCCCTCTGAAGGCAGCAGCTCCGCATGCGCACGCCTCGCCCCCTCGGCACACACCTGATGCCAGGCTGCCTGAGCTGTGGAAGCCGTGGGAGGGCCCACGCGGCGGCAGGCTGCTGCTCAGCTGCGGCGGCTCGGCTGCGCCGTAGGGCCCCGGCCCGGCAGGCTGCTGGAAGGGGGTCGGGGCAGCCGCCGCGCTGCGTGCCGAGCTGGGCTGCTGCGGCTCAAAGCCGGGGACCGCTGCCGCCTGCTGCGGCACAAAGGCCACCCGGCTGGGCCCGCTGCCAAAGCTGGCGGGGCGGCCCAGCGGGGGCCGCGGCAGGAGCGACTCCGCGCCGGCGCTGCTGCTGAAGCTGGCGGGGTGGCCGAGGGCCGGGCCCAGCGGCGGCGCCTCCCTGCTTGCCCCGCTGCCAAAGCTGGTGGGGCGGCCCAGGTGGGCTGCTGGCGGCGCCGCCTCGCTGCTGGCGCTCCTGCCGCCAAAGCTGCCGGGGCGGCCAAGCTGCGAGGCGAGCGCCTCGCCGCCGGTACCGTCGCCAGCTGGCAGCGCCTCCCCTGCGCCCGCCGCGGGGGCCGCCCCAAAGGACGGCAGCGGCGGCAGCAGGGTTGCGGATGGGTTGGGGGTGCCCAGCCTCGGTCCCATCATCGGCGGCGGAGGCAGGCGCGCCTGCTGGTCCAGCGACGCACGGGGAGGTGCCTCCATGCCAGGCGCACCCAGCGCTGACATGGGGGGCAGCGACGACGTGCTGGCATCCGGCAGCCGGCCAGGTGGCGGCGCCCAGGTGGGGTGAGGGATGCGCGACGCAGACGCCTGGCGCTCCCATGGCTGCTGCTGTGGTGAGGTCAGGGCCGAGGGCGGCCGCGACGTGGGCGGCCCGCCAGCTGCCGGCTCCCCAGCACCTGCTGCTGCTGCTGCTGCCGCCTCTGCCACCGCTGGCTCCGCTGCTGCTGGCTCAGCCGGCGGCGGCGGCAGGGACAGGCCTCCGGCGTGAGCCTTGATCTCAGCGGGCGGCGGCAGCCCTGGGGGGTGGCCGGCGGTGGCATGCACTGCCTTGATGGGCGAGGAAGTGCTGCCGGGAGGGGGAGGCAGCTTGAGGGGAGGCAGGCCTGCAGGCAGGCGGGGCGGGGCCTGGGCTTGTGAACAGCCACAGCAGCCTGCAGCACGCAGCTCCAGAAGCCCAGCCAAGGCACCAAAACAAGGAGCAGCACAACATGCGCTCACCTGCCGGCGGCGGCGGCGGCAGGGCCCCGGGAGGAGGCGGCAGGGCGCCTGGTGGGGGCGGCAGGGCCCCGGGAGGAGGGGGCAGCGAGGAGAGCGGCAGGGCAGATGGCGGTGGTGGCAGGCTGCCGGGGGCAGGCGCCACATCTGCCGCATCGGCAATCCCATTGGCTGCACCCTCGTGCTCCTGCCCGGCCCAGCCGTCTGCAGCAGCGTGGCCCTGCAAGCACGCCGAATCAGGCAATGCTAAGTAGGGTTAGGGGTGTGCCAGAGGGACAGAGCCTCGCGCCACAGCTTCCCAAGGAACTGCCCTGCATGCAGCTGCCACCATAGCTGCTGCTTCTGGCCAGCTGCTGTGCCGGCGTCTCGCATGCCTGCCAGGCACTTACCAAGTCCTGCTCTGCTGCACCCACGGCGCCGGCCTCCTCTCCGCCATAGGCGGCTGCGCCTTGGGCGCCGTCTGCACCATAGGCATAGCCGTCCGCCGCATACTGCTCCGCCGCATACTGCTGCTGCTCAGCGCCCTCAGCGCCGTAGCCGTCGGCTGCGTACTGCTCCTCTGTGTACTGCTCGCCCTGGTACGGGTAGTACTGCCCATCCTCGCCCAGCTGGTAGTAGAACCCATCCTCTCCCAGGATGTAGCCCTGCTGCTGGTAGCCCTCCTCGCCGCCCTGCTGCGCATACTGCTCGCCGCCCTCCACACCACCATACCCCTCGCCATACTGCTCGCCGCCCTCTGCGGCTGCCTGCTCGCCCCCATAGCCCTCCTGCTGCTCCTCCGGCTCCGCCTGCTGGGCCTCCTCCTGCGGCTGCCACTGCTCATAGCCGTCCTGCGGCTGCTGCTCCCCCTGAAGCTGCTGGGGCGCCTCCTCCCCAGGCTGCGGCTGCTCTTCAGGCTGCACCTCGGCGGGAGGCTGCTCGGGGAGCGATGGCGACTCGGATGCGCCCCAGCCGCCGTCTGTTGCCGCAGCCTCCTGCCCCTGGCTGCCGGCGCTCTCCAGCGCCTGCCCCGCCAGCGGCTGCTGCTGCGACGGCGGCGGCATGGGCGGCCAGCCTGCGCGCGGCGGCGGCGGCGGCGTGGGCAGCATGGAATTGATGTTGGCCTGCGGCTGCTGCTGCATGCCGCGCAGCTGGGGCTGCATCTCAGGCGACACCGAGGCGCTGGCCTCTGTGGCCAGGTTGCGGGCGGGGCCTGCAGAGCCTGCAGGCGGCAGGGAGGGCAGCGCAAGCAAAGCTTGCAAAGCCGATGGGAGGACGGTAGGCAGAGGACGGCTTGGAGCGCTGGAGGCATACTGCTGATGCAGCCCGCAGGTTCAGCCAGCCCTCACCGGCATTCTCGACATCCAAGCGCTTGGAGCCGCCAGCGGGAGGCAGCCGGCCGCCCTCGGGCGTGGTGGCAACGGCTGCCTGCGAGCTGTACAGCGGGTTGGTGTGCACGCCCAGCGCGCGAATGCCGCCTGGCGGCGGAGGCGGGGGTAGTGACCTCAGGCCGCCAGGTGGCGGCGGCGGGGCCAGCGACCGCAGACCGCCTGGCGGCGGCGGTGGGGGCAGCGACCGCAGGCCGCCTGGCGGCGGGGGTGGAGGCAGCGATCGTAGTCCCCCAGGCGGCGGAGGGGGAGGCAGTGGCAGGGTTGACTGGAAGGGGGAGTGCGGCGGGCTGGGGGTGCTGCCGCCACCTCCTTCGGGCCGCCCAGCCGCGACAGGCGGCGGCGGCTGGAAGAATGCAGGCGGGCGCTGCTGCGAGTCCATCGCAGCCAGCTCCAGCCTTCAGCTGCACAGCAGGAGCCAGGGGTGTTGGGGTGCACCGTTTCAGCTGATGGGTCCCACGCGATGGTCGGCAGTGAACAAAGGGGCGCAGCTCGTGCCACCTCGCTGGTCCAAGCCACCTGGAGACCCCTCGCCAGCCAGGGAGCCGCCGCAAACGGGCTGAACAGGCTCCAATGTCGTTTGTGCGCGCAGCTGGCGCACAAGGGGTGCGCACCGATCTCCGCTTCCTCCTGGGCGTCGAGTAAACAGCTGAGCCGGTGGGCGGGCGGCCGGGGAGGTCCTCCCAAACTGTCCACTCAGGCGAAGTAGGGCGCCATAGGCCGCCCAGCTATTCCCAATGTTATTCGCAATGCTGCTCGAGGCTGAAGGCTTGGCGCTAGGGAGGGCCAGCTGCATGAGAAGGCGCCGCGACGTCCACCTGGCGCCGTTTTGACAGCGTGCGACAGCCACAGGATAGCGCATGCACCCTCCCTTGTGCAGCGCAGTGCTAGTGATGCTGCATTGGTACCATGTCCTCCGTATGCAGGCAGACCAGCCTACGTGCCTACACTAGTATCGCTACTGGCGTCCCTGGAGTGCCGCACCCACCACAGCATGGCCAAGTGGCAACCGCCTTCTAATAAGATTGCAAAGTATGGAAGGCGGGTAAGATGATTTCAGAACCAAGTTCAGCAAAGCAGGTATGGATCAGAAGTGAGCAGGAGAAAGGGCAGGGCACAGGGCGGGAGGAGGTGGGCGCTGCGGGGCGCGGGCGCAGGGAAAGGCATGTCGGCTTGACCACAGCCTCGACTCACTCTGTGTCCGAGCCTGCAGTCATCTCGAAGAACTGCCGCTCCAGCTGCACGCAGCAGAAGCATGTGTGTCGGTGACAGCACTCAACCAGTGACCGCATACCGCGGCAGCACAGCGCACCGGGCCAGGAGCGCTATCAGGCTGCCTGCTCCCCCAGCCAACGCCTGCCGCCCGCCTCATCGTGCCATAACAAAACACACCACCACCGCCACCACCCCTCCCCACCTCTGCCAGGTCCTCGTCTGTGACGTGGTCCAGTGGCTCTGCGGTGCGTGCCGCCTCCTTGCGCGCCTTGGCCCGCGCCTCCTTGGCATTCTTCTCCAGGTTCTTCTCACGGCTCGTCTCCCTATCCAGCATCTGCGCCAGCGAGGCAAGCCAAGAAACAGCAACAGCCAAGGGTGCTCAAGGGTCTGCTGGCCCGTCAGCTGGGCTGCCAGCCATGCCTGCTGGGCGCACCGACACACTGCACGGCAGCGCCCCACAAATGTGCCGGCCAGCTCATGCACACCCATGCGGTGAGCTGAGCTGAGCTGAGCTAGCTGCCGCCAGTGAAGCTGCAGCACCCACCGAGCCGATCACCACCTTCTCGTTGTCCTGCATCTCCACCAGCCCCCGCGACAGCTGCAGCAGCGTGACGCCGCCGTCGGCGCACCCCACGCCCGCCAGCCGCTGCGCCTGGCCGACGCCCCCGCTCGCCACTGCCAGCGCCGTCAGCGGCCTGTCTGCCACCCGGACCGACAGCACCGGGGCTCGCTGCTTGAAGTAGTAGTCCCACACGTCCAGCACGCCCGCGTGGCTGGTGGTGTAGAACACGCCGGGCCGGCTGGGGCTCCACCCGCCGCAGGTGAGGTGCGAGGGGGCGTAGGGTGTGGTGGACACCGGGGTGCGCAGGTCCTCGTTCCACACGCGCGCCGTCCAGTCGCCCACCGACAGGAAGTACTTGGGGAAGAAGGGGTTGCGGGAGAGGGAGTAGACAGCGCTGTGGTGGCCTGTGGTGGCAGCGGGGGCGGTGGCGGGTGGGTGGCCACATTGTGAACCTTGGAGCCATTCCATTTGGCGGAGGTGTGTGCTATGTGCTATGTGCTGTGTGCTGTGTGCTGAGTGCTGGCACGCACATGTGCCAGGCACCAGCTGGTTGCCAGGCCCACCCACGCACCCCACCTGTGTACGAGGCGGTGATGCGGTCTGCGGGCTGCTTGGCCTTGCGGTTGCCGGCCAGGATGGTGCCCTGGTCCGTGCCCACCATGAACTTGGTGGGCCCCACCGGCGGGCTGTACTCCAGGCACATGCCCCCCAGCACCGCCTCCCCGCCCCGCTCCCGCAGCGTCAGCCGCTCCAGCGGCTCCCCCAGCTTGCGCAGGTCCCACCACGCCACGCTGCCGTCGGTGCTGGTGCTCATCAGCTCGCTGCCCGCCTTGGACTGCGTCCAGGCAAAGTCGTGCAGCGGCGCGTGGTGGCTGTGCTGCACGGGGGAGGCGTCCACGGGGGCGGCGCCCTTGCACAGGTCGAAGAAGGTGACCTGGCCGTTGTACTGCCCAGCGCCAATGAGGTTGTGGTCCTTGAGGTTGAACCCCAGCGTGACCAACGGCACAGGCGCTGCCAGGCTGGCCTCGGGCGCGCTGGGGTTGGCCACATTCCACACGTAGCTGGTGGCGGGCATGCCGGGCGGCTGGCGCTGGAACTCCAGCACGCTGTAGGCCACAGCCAGGCGCCCCGAGCCGTCGGGGTGCCAGGACAGCGCCTGCGCGCCCCGCTTGATGGCCGCAGGGTCGCGCAGGATGGTCAGCGTGCAGGTGGAGGGCGGCTCGCACAACTGCTGCGGCGGCAGGTCTGGGCAGGGGCGCAGGGGAGGGGGCGTGCAATCATGTGAGGGTCACGACAGGCGCTGCAGGGCAGCTTCAACGCCGCTGCTGCATCCCGGGCTGCCAGGCGCATGCCACACACCAGCTGTCGGGAGCTGCCAGTCCACACCGCAGTGGCCAGCAGCTACGTGCGCCCTCACACCTGCCCGCCCAGTCACCCCACCCACCCTCAAAGTAGGTCTCGTAGATGTCTATCGCGTTGTTCTGCTTCACCAGCTCCTCCACCACCGCCCCCAGCCGCACCACCTGCTTGATGTAGTCCTCGTCCTTCTCCACCTTGCGCCGCCACCGCACCACCTGCTCTGCCTCGGTGTGGTCGACCTCCTTGGGCCACCCGCCCTCAAGGTGAGCCATGCCGCTGTTGACCAGCACCACAGCTGTGGTGTTGGCCTGGGGAGGCAGGGCAGGGGCAGGGGGGCGTGGGAAAGCTGCCCAGGCTGCAGGCTGTGCAGCCAGGCGCCGCCGCAAGATGCCGGCTCCGCCACCCACCTCGTGCTCCGACATGTCTGGCGCGGCCTGCACCGCCACCGTGGTCTGCGGCTTGACTATCCAGGCCTTGGCGTGCTCCTCATTGGGCCGCAGGTCGAGCAGCAGCTGCACGGCGGCAGCCAGCAACGGCGGCAGCAAGCAGCAGCGGTGACAAGCGTGTGGTTACCAGGCAAGCGTCGCTCGCACCCACTCTATTTTATGCCTCACCTCTGCACCCTGGTCCGTGAAGTGTGGGTGCCGGCCAAATTGGCGTCGCTGCTTCACATATCTGTGCGCCACCTGCGGGGCGGCAGGCGGGGAGCGGCGGCACACGCCATGAGGCGGCGATGCCGCCGTTTTTGGCTGCCGCGCTGTGGCATCGTCCTGCAGCGCCTGCTGGTGCACAGGTATAGCCTGCGCAGGCTACCGTGTCGCACCTCCATTGCAGCGCAAGACGTTGACCGCGTGTGCAGCGGAGCGTCAGCACTGGCGAGGAGGCAGAGCAGGAGCGATCGAGGTTAACAATTGGAATAGAGGAGAAGAAATGGCAGTCTGCTGCTTGTTGACTTCCAGAGTGGCGGCGCCAGCGAGTGGCGGCGCACTGGCGGCGCAAGGCTGGACTGGTCCAGGGTGCTTGTTCAGGGTTACATATCGTTGCTACAAGATGAGGCATGATTATTAGGAAAATGAGAAATGAAAAAAGGAAGATTTGCGAGCGCGGGACACAAAAGAAATGCACAGGGATTATTGCACGACAGCTTTGATTTGATGCTAGTGAGACAGGACAACTTATGATGCAGTGCGACAGAGACACAAGACACGAGATGATGGTGCGCAAGGGGAGAGCAGTTCACAACAGTTCCGCTGGTAACGTCTTGGCCGCCAGGTCCATCACGACACCTGCTTCTGAGCGGCCTTCATGTTGTTGTTCACCATGCATGCCACCGCCTCCACAGTGTGGTCCAGCCGCATGCCCAGCAGCATGGCAGCAACAAAGAGGGCCACCTGGGGCTGCAGGGAGGCCAGCGCCACAAGTGCGGGGCCCGGGCAGATGCCGCCGATGCCTGCAGCCAGGCCAAGGCGACACAACAGAAGGTTCGAGCTGGCAAGGCTGGTCCAGCGGATAGCGGATAGCGGATAGCTTTGCACGCCCCGCATCACACCGGACCATCCTCCAAGCCAGGCTGCACAGCACTCACCCCAGCCGACGCCAAAGACCAGCGAGCCTAGGATAAGGTTGGCGTCCAGGCTCTTCTTGGTGGGCAGCTCGTAACACGTGCTGCACAGCGGCGCCTTGGTGCGGCGCAGTGCCCACTGGAAGGTGGGCAGCACCACCAGCAGAGCGCCGCCCATCACAAACATGAGGGAGGGATCCCAGGTGCCACCTAGCACGCTCAGGAAGCCTGTGGGGGGAGCGGGAGGGGCTATATCATCATATGTGGGTCATATTCATGTGGCCAGGCAGCGGAGCGCAGCACAAGAGATGCTGCTCAGCAGTCAGGCGGGCCGCACTAGCCCTGGCCAGCCCGCAGGCAGCACCCACCTACGACCTTGGAGGGCTTGAGCATGCCGCTGGCACCCAGGCCCAGCGCAAACAGGAAGCCGATGAAGACGTCGGCGGCGCTGGACAGTGCCGCCAGCTTCTGCGCATCTGGTGCCGCCGCTGGTGGCGCCGCCGTCAGCATCGTCTCCTCCAGAGCGCTGGCCTGCTTGAGCTCCGACTCCAGAGCGGCGGCTGAGGGCACACGGGAGGGCGCCGTCAGCTGCTTGGCCACCAGCGTCAGCGCCAGCCACATGGCCGCAGACACCGCCAGCAGCACAACGGCAAAGGTGGCGGTGGAGCTCCAGCTGGCGCCGGCTGCCAGGGGCGCGATGCCGCGCGGCAGGGCAAAGACCGCGGCGGTCTCCGCCGCCTTTGCAGTCACCGCGCCCGCCCCCATGAAGCTGAGGGTGGCGGCAAAGGAGCGCAGGCTCAGGCGCCCGATGCCGCAGATGCCGTGCCCCGAGGTGCAGCCCGAGCCGCGTGAGGTGCCCAGCCCCACCAGCAGGCCCGCCAGCGTGGCGCGCTGCAGGGTGTAGGCGGCCGGCAGGAGCTCGAATGCGGTGGGCAGCAGCCCGCGCAGCGCAAAGCCGCCCGCCAGCAGGCCCGCCACAAACGCGACGCGCCACGCCTCGTTGCTGCCCTGCACAAGGCCGCGGACATGCCCCGAGATGCCCAGAATCCTGCAGGGACGGCAAAACGGCACAGGCTGGTTGGAGCCCTGCCGCCCAAGCCCGCAGGCTCCCGCAACCCCGGGGCCCCGAGGCGGGGCCATGGCGCCAAGGGCAGCATGCATGGCACAAGCGGCTCACCTGCCCGTGATGCTGAGCTTAGCAAACGCCATCAGGCCCAGGGTCAAGCCCGCCAGGCCACTCTCCACCGGTGTGAAGGCAAAGGCAGCGGGCGCCAGCATGTTGATGGCGGTGGGGGCGCGGCGGGTGCGTGGGGCAGCGCGGCTTGGGAGTACTGGCTGGCGAACTGCATCAATGGGCCGCGCAGTAGCAGCACACATTTAAGCCTCCTGGATGCAGCACGCTGCTGCCAGCGAGTCGCACACCTTCTACACAACTTCCACCACCGCCGGCGGGCGGCGGTGGAAGGTGGCGGCCGCAGCTGCCGCCATGCCCCAGTTGGCCCCAGGGCGCACCTTTGCCGATCAAGCTGCGAGCGGCTGCGCGGTGGTGTCTGAAGACAACTGGGGGCTTGGATTGGGCGTTTGTCAGCAAAGCACTGGAGAGTGCTGTGGACATGAGTCCAGGCACAGGGGGAGCTTGGGTGGGGCTGTGGGGTGTTGAAGAGACGAGTGGAACCTGCCAAATGCGCCCGCAGCCTTCACGTGGGGCGAGACCCATGACGAGATGAATCGCGTTTATGAGTCCTCCGCCAAATTAGCCTGCTTTGCGTCCATGGCAGCTTCTCGAACTCGTTGGCCAGGTAGGCCTCCCGGTAAGGATGTGCCCCATGATGGGCATGATGGCCCCCCACCTGGAGGGTCATTGGGGACATCATCCTCAATCATGCATCATTCTCCCTCCCGTTTGTTCTGTTGGCATCCCAGCAACCGTAATACGCTTTTCCAACGAACTCAACCCCCATGAGCACACATGAGCATGGTGCCCAGTCCGGCAGCAAGGCTCTAGGTCCAACGCCGCTATTGAGCGGTGCAGCTAACCAAGCTAAGCAGCTGAAGTCGCGCTTCAACTCGTGGGAAAGGTTTTGTGAAGCACATCCACAGGCGCGCGTCGCCATCGCCGTTCAGTCAGGCTACTCCCACGAGATCAAGTTCTTTTGCCATTCCATCGTGTTCTGGGAGGAGTTCAAGGACTTCTTCACTGAGCGGTGCGCCGCCGCCGGCAGCCGCTCCGAGCGGTCGCGGCTGAAGGGCGAGCTGGGCAAAGCAGGCATTGATTTCAGCAAGTTTCTGGCTTTGGCAATAGACCTGTGGAAGGCAGAAGGTGTTATCTCTCAGTTACAGGCAGATGTCATGATCAAGCTGGCAACGGGCACTGCATTCGACACGGATGGTAAGCCGGCT